ACAATCAACATAATCGACTGTTGCGAATTAGCATCCGTTGTTACACCTCGAACACACTCAACTTGATGCGAAACCCAATCCTTGCGTTGACAGAAAGTGGAACAGTAAGGCGTCCGCCGACAGAGGGAGCATTCGGCGAGAGCCTCTCTGTTGCAATTCGCACACTGGAACAAGAAATAATTAGTTATYGGAGGYGTTGCCAATTTTAGMWTTACCTTCTTTTGGTTGTCGTCCAAGGCAGGTTGTAAGGTGGTGTCAGAGCTGCCATCTGGCTGCAAAGCAGCCACTTGGGCCTCGACTCGCGCCGCCAGCACTGCTGCATCTTTCTCTCTTTGAAACTTCTCCGATTGTCTACTAATCGCGTCGCGTAACTCTTCAACGCCTTTGCGGAAATCGCTCGCCAGTCGCGTTATTTGTGTCGCAATGTCTTCGAGTCTTTTCAAGGAGGCTGTCGGGTCAGTGTTGACCACTGGCTCCATCAACTGGTAGTCGGTGGAGTCGAGGCCTTCGGCTAGGTTCTGCCAGGCTTCCTCTTTTGTTTGCTGATTTCCGTCGCTGTCTTCGCCGCAGCTGCGTTTGTTTGAGTCGTGGTCCTTCCGACGTTTCCTCTTGTAGGGGGTAAACAGTCGGACGGGACCTGTAGCCGACTCATCATCGCAGCAGGCAGCGCAAGTGCAACTTGTCGCATGAGGAAGGATGATACCTGGAAAAAAATCATACGAGTTGATTAGGCAACCAATAATTCACTAAAATAGAACTGTATTCAAATTTAGTTTAATTACAATTTCAAATATGAAAAATGCTCACAATAGGTAATTAACTTACACAATGGAACACACTCGAGTTTTTCTACCATCGCAACTGCATAATACAAAATTTATACACATGACGATGCAATTAAAAAAATCATGTTAGTCATTATGGCTTTCGTTAAAGTAGTGTTAACAATACCCTTTACAGATCTATTATTTTACATACACACTGTTTATAAATACTCTGTGATCAAATGAACTATGGAATTTGATAATTACTCTTCTTTGTGGGTAATAAAAGTCTGGATTTTAAGTTTTCTGTCTATTCATAATCTTTTAAGGCAAATCAGTTTTCGAGGTAGCATTAAAATTCATAGTTTTCATCGAAAATGCTTAAATTAAAGATTACAAAAAATACGTCCTAAATTAAAACATCATAGTTATTTTTGTTACAAGTACTTAAAATACAGTTTTTATGACCAAATCGTTGCAGTTTCCGGACGAGGCGAGGCCGAGTCTGGAATGGCAGATGAGACCGCAAAAACGTGTTAGGTACGTGTTACAAACAAGATTTTTTTGTTAAAGCACCTAAGAAACGAATTCACACCTCTTATTAATTAAAAAAATTTCGGAACCATAGTAACCGAATTGACTTTTTCGCCCGGAAAAACTGTTTTTGGGGACTGAGTACCTAAAATAACCATTTTACGTACTATTTTATTGATTCCGGATTAGACTTATTTTAGGGGCTCAAATATCTATTTTCAGGAGCGTATACAACAAAGTGATTTTTTTCCATCACAATGCAAATTGGTATCGAGCGATCAAGATAATTTGTAATAATCGAGTCATCTTTGTATCCGAGAACGTATGTCCAACTGCACGTGAAACGTCAAATAAATTGACAAGTCGAAAGGTAAAACGGCAAAATGGGCTGAAATTAGTCGCTGACGTATAATAATACGCGTAGGACCGCTCTTTTTTGAAGGTAAATTACAAATTTAGTTATTATAATCATCACCTTTTTAATCATGCCATTTTACCTTTCGACTTGTCAGTTGACTTGACATTTTACGGACATACGTTTTCGGATCCAAGGATGACTCGATTACAAATTACCTTGATCGCTCGACACAATCAAAGGGAATTAAAACTAAAATTACAAATTTTTTAGACGTAAAAACTGGTCATTTCTTGCAACCTAAAGTCTCAACTTCAGTCATTAATAACAAATAAAAATCGGTGTTGTAACTGAACCTTGAACCAAGAAAAAAATGTGATTTTTTTTTTCAAGACTTTTGAGATAAAACAAAACTGACAATTTCCATATTATCATGTAGGCACCTTAGCTCTTTTGTTTCCAATGTTGTCGCATTTAATTTGTTTGATTGTTGAATTTGCTAATTTGTTAAATGTTTTGTACAGGTGCTGCATTTTGGATGTCCGAATAGGGAATCTCCTAAACTAACAGGTTTAGCTAAAAACAAATGATACATTCTGGGGTTAATTTTTTAAGAAAATAATATTGGTTAAAATCGCATCCCGCTATGAAATCTAAATCGTCTTATTATAGAAGGTACAGATTTGAAATAAAGATATACAGACAGTTTTTTACGGAAAGTTTATTAATGTATTTAACAATTTTACAAGATGAACTTGTATTTTTTTAAATGAGAATCATAGATGGCTGCTATTTTTAAAAAGCTTGTTTTTTTCTTATCTAAAAAATATTCTGAGGTAATTACTTTTTATTAACAGAAACGCCAAAAGTTTATTTAGTACTAATAATCTAAATGAATTTTTTTATTCGTAATAAAAGACCTGGTAAAAATAAAATTCTTTGATTTGTGAATTTAATTATTCCAGTAGTGGAACACATTAAGTTTGTTTTTTTAGTGTACATATAATTTTTTATATCAAATAGGGATACAAAGTCAAGTTTTTCCTGTTTTCCTAATTTCAGTAGGGGCGCACCCTATATACCTATCTATGTATGTACGTATTATAGAACTCGCGCTTCGGTGCTCGTTTTATAAACCTGAACTCGTTCCAGAAAACTTGCCTTACGAAACGCCATTCTTTAATATACTACAGCTGGTAAGAATTTTTAAATGATATTCTTTTCTGGAACATAATAATTTAATCTGGCAAAATGGCAATAATTTCGCTTTCAAATTTTTTGATATTAGTCATTCAAAATTTTAAAGTAAAATCAATGTATAATACCACTACGACCTGCCTTTGATTTTCCCCTTCAACTGCCACATGTCTCGGAAAGTCCCACTTTTTGTTAAACTTTCACTCGAAAATAACATAATCTCTATTTTTTCCGTTCATTCGGGCAAGGGTGCCACTTCAAATTTACCTACTCTTACTCTATTTAAGACATGAAATACTGGCCAAGGGGTTCCTGCAAAAACTCATATCAGTGCTCATACCTTCATCAATCAACGTCTGCAGACTCCTGCCCCCGAACCTGATGCTTCTCTTCCAGTCCTTGCTCGAGGCCCTGCCGCACAGCGCTTCGAACTCGCTCGGCGTGTACCAAGCCGAGCCCAACTTGATACACCGGCCTCTGCCCCCCGACCCGAATCTGTTTTTGTGCAGCTCCGCCGAGGTGTTCTTGCATCTCACCGGAAGTACCGGTAGACTCGCCGCCTCGTTCCATGAGCCCAGATTGGGCCCCGATACCGTCACCGGCGTGGAGACAGTCCCCGCCTCCGAGACGTCGCCCTGAATGACGATGGTCTTGAGCTCGGCCCCCGAGCCGTCTGTGGCGATGTAGCCGTTGTTGTCGACACACAGCATGGGCTTGAAATGGGGCAGTTGGTCCTGGGTGATAACATTGAAGGTGCTGGTGATGAGCGAGCCCACCGGCAGAGACACCGGCACCCCCGCATGGCGCACCGAGACGGCCGAGACGCGAGGATGTTTTGTGTCCACAACRGAGTCGCCATTCTCGCCGCCATCGTGCTCRCTCGTGAGCTGTTCGGCTTCGGAAATGTCCGGTAGGACGACGCCTTCCGAGTTTGAGTTTTCCATGGACCAAAACGCGACCAAGACGACGTTTACCAAGGATTTCAGGGAAGAAGCGGGTTCGAGGAGGTTGAAGAGTTTAACGAATTTACCACTTGGGGTGATGACGATGACGGMTACACGATTGGTTACTACAGTCGCCGATATGCAGGCGGCGTAGCCGAGGCTGCGCATGCGCCGCGCCATTTTTGAATCTATACACCTTCATGACCTCATTTTCACATTTTACACATTATAAAAGGATTTTTAAAGGATTTTTACTGAAAATGATGAATTCATTTTCCGATCTCTGACGTAAAACAACCTAATAAAGCTTTAAAAATAAATCAATATACGTAAAAAGTTGTTAATTTATAATTTGTCACTTATCATTGACGGTAGGCAAATGAAAGGAGTAAACGTCGCATTTGTAAAATTCTTAATATCTGAACAAAAACAAAGAAAAACAGTTTTGTAAATTCTCAATTTTTTATTAAAATATTTTTGAAGAAAAATAAACAAAAAAAAAACAAATGCTATTGACTGCCAATTAATTTTCTACCTAGGAAACTGTATTAACAAATGTTCGTTTCCATGACAACTTTTCCATGGGTACATCGTGCCATGGGTCTAGAATAACTGATAAAATAAAAAATATATCTGGAAATCAATTACGTTTTGTGGGATTAAAGGTCAAGTTGATAAGTGGTTTTAAAATAATAACGATGACCCAAGCAAAAACATATCGGTGTGTTTGAGTTTCAAAGCATTGTCGAAAATTGAGATTAATCAAGTTTTTCATTCTTTATTCACCCTAGAAGTAAGGCAATATACCAGGAACATAGGAAAATGATAAAAATATTTTATCTATAGTTATGAGATGAAGTTATTAGATTTTAAATTTTGCACTTTGACTATTTATTTCTGTTGGAAAAATAATTTTTCAATTTTTTTCTGCTACAGGCTATTAGAAGAGGAAACAAGGAAACTGTTATTCTAAATTATAACTCTGTTTAATGTTATTTGTGGCTTTTGTTAATTTTTTTTACCTTTACTAAATAATTATTAAAAAAAAACATATACAAGATCATCAGTATTATTAAATAAAATAAAAAAATGTCAAAAAATAAATGTCAAATTTGTTTGACAGTTTGAATTTTTTTAACATTTTTTCCATGCTCCTGGTATCTTATCTTACTTGAAATTTTTCTCTGGGGCACAAGTTCTAGGTAGACAAACTTTAATAAAATAGAAAAAAGTAATATAAAAAGATCTATACAAACCTCTCACACCTAGCTGCTTTTTGAGGCTCGCATATCATTAAAAATAGCCGTGTCATTTTTAAATTTGGTGGGAAGTTTACATTTGAAAAATGTCATCATATTGGCAAAATCCGTAAAGAAATGTCAAAAACGCCAACTAGTGTAAAGTTAAATTTGTCACTTGTTGATTATTTTCCAAAGCACTACAAAGCGTGGGCGGCTTTTTTAGAATGTAAAAAAGGTTTTCAAATAAAATATCAAAATACTAAATTTTTTTACCATTTTGAATTTTGGTTGGTGAGACTTGAAACTATACTTTAATCTCAATTTTCAGAGACATAGCGAGATCAAAAGGCCCTTTTCTATCAAGCAAGCGTAGAAATTTAGAACGTGTGTTCGCGGGAGTTAAAATGTCTTATTGACAACTGAGAAATGTCAACATAATTTCTATGGTAAATATGACAGGAAACCCTGATATACGATATGTATGAATAAATACCAAAAACATTTTATTTCACCAGAATGTTTTCAGAGGTTTCATAAAATAATTCAACTTGCTTAGATTAATATTTCAAATTTTGTAAAATATTTTTTTAACATCTAAACGACATATGGGTTTGCACGTAACATACGTCCTCAACTAGTACGCCTACGTGATAGGCATTGTTCTTTCTTATTTTTCCAGGGGCGTAACCTGTGGGATATGGCCTGCGGAATTTATTGTTTATAATATTAAACAAATTCTTTTTTTCAAAAATATTCTTCATCCAAGCGAAAAAAAATCACATTTGTTACTGACAATCAAAATTTGGATTTTGGAAATTCGTAGTTACAATTTATGTAGGACAATAATTACACCTTTTTGTCAATTATCAGTTTAAACATTTCATTTGTTTTACGTAACTGGCAATCCAGTGTTATAATCGCACAAAACATATTTTATTACTCAATAAAACACAGTAATAGTCTTTAATATTGGTTTATAAAAATTTAACCATCAGCGTATCGACAAAACACTCACCAGTGACAAAATAAAATACTTGAGATAACCCATGACAAGCACAAAAATAGTCTACATATTATGATTATGTAACGTCATAAAATAAACAACAAATTTACAAATTAGCCCGTTTTTGCTTCTTCAATCCTTCGGCGATCTTCTGCCCTAGTCCTGCATCAACTTGAGTGAAATTTTTGATAGCCCTTTCTTGAATAAAATCAGCCGCGTCTTTCAAATTCCCTACGATATTGGCAATCAATCTGTCTTTCGCTCCTTGATCCAAAGTCTTCTGGTAAAAAACCCTCGACTGGCTGTAATTGTCTTCATCCCCGGAATCATACCGATTGGCCTCTCCCGAGACAGCAAATGGCGGATTCAAAGCCTTCGCCCTCGAGTCGCTATCAGGCCCGTTGAAACTATTGGGGTGGTAGTTGGGGGCCCCTCCTTGATTATTAATCGCCTGGGGACCATCGCGTTGATAATTACGCACTTTGAAGGGACAATTGACCGGGAGTTGGAGATAATTGGGCCCCAAACGATGACGATGGGTGTCTCCATAGGAGAAAAGTCTCCCTAGAAGCATTTTATCGGGTGATGGTTCAATACCAGGAATCATATGGGCCGGACTGAAAGCGATTTGTTCCACTTCGGCGAAGTAGTTCTCCGGGTTGCGGTTGAGTGTGAATTTGCCCACTGGGATCAAGGGGTAGTCGGAATGGGGCCACACTTTGGTCAAGTCAAATGGGTTAAATTTGCAAGCAGCGGCTTGTTCCATGGTCATGACTTGGATGTAGGTGGTCCATGATGGGTGATTACCATTTGCTATGGCATTATAAAGGTCTCTTAACCCATAATCTGGGTCAGTCGAAGCCAACTGTGCGGCTTTTTCGACATCGAGATTCCTAATCCCTTGGTCAGTCTTGTGGTGGAATTTGCAATACACGGATTTACCCTCAGCATTCACCAACTTGAAGGTATGAGACCCATACCCGTTCATGTGTCTAAACCCATCTGGGATTCCCCGGTCCGAGAATACGAACATGGTCTGATGGGTCGTTTCCGGTCTCAAGGTAATAAAATCCCAGAACATGTTAGCATCCTTCAAGTGCGTCTGGGGATTGCGTTTCTGGCTGTGAATGAAATGGGGGAACAAAATTGGGTCCCGAATGAAGAAAATGGGAGTATTATTCCCGACGAGATCCCAGATCCCGTCCTCAGTGTAGAACTTCATGGCAAAGCCGCGGGGGTCGCGAACGGTGTCGGCCGAGCCGGACTCCCCGGCCACCGTTGAGAATCGAATAGCAATGGGGGTTCTTTTGCCAATGTTGGAGAAGACTTTGGCAGCGGTGTATTTAGTAATGTCGTGGGTGACTTCAAAGTAGCCGAAGGCGCCGGCTCCCTTGGCGTGGACTACACGTTCGGGGATACGTTCACGGTCGAAATGGGCCAACTCTTCGATGAAGTTGTTGTCTTGGAGGAGAATGGGGCCGCGGGGGCCCACGGTGAGGGTGGCGTCTTTCTCGCCGATTGGAGTGCCATGGGCTGTCGTCGCGGCGGAATCATTCTGCAATTATAAGTAAAACATTTAGTAAGATAAAAAAAATACAGACTCATTTTTTTAAAACGAGCCACCCTGGATATCTTATAAAATAAACAAAAATTAGAAAATCCCGAGACAGGTCAACTTTTATTTACAGGGGGACACCTTTGAATGTTATAGCCGTAACCCCCTTTGTAGTACAAAACAAACAACCCCTTCAAAATTTTAAATGGCACCACCACCTTTGTGACACCTCAAATGACCAGAATTCGGCTCTGTTTTTGTTTGAGTTTTAAATATTTTTATTTACGTTACGCAGAACAAATTACTAAGGGCAAAGACAGCTCTGAAACGTCGGCTGCATTCATTAAAAGTAACCAAATGTCAAAAAATGAAAAAATTGACGTCAAAAAATAAAACACCCTGAACACCGGATGTTGCAGTTAAGAATATTTCAGTTTATTCTTTCTATTACATATGAAAGACTACATAGGTCCTCCATAATATGGAAAAAAATACTCTTATTTTAAATAAAGCTTGAGACATCCTGTACATCGTGTTTTATATCCATAAAACATATTAAGAAATGAATGTTGAACGAAAAATTTTTGCTAAAACACCCTGTATTGCAAAAAAAATACACCGTGCGATCAAAAAAAAAATTAGAGTAGGCGGTGATTAAAGTCCTTCAGATGGCAATCCTGAGTTTTGATATCAAATGTCAGCGGAAACTTTGACAAGTTTGCGTTTTATTCCTTTTGAGTGAAATAATGTTCACTTTAGAGCAGAAAATTTTTATTGTTGTACAAGAGGAAAACGGTGGATGGTCATTTTCACTTTCAGTTTTTATGAAAAATTTCTAGCCCAGATTCCCAGCCAATGTTTTTCCAGCTGTAGAATTTAATCGACGCCTACTCTAATTTATTTTTTATTTGATGGCACGGTATATTTTGCACGTTTTTATCGATTGTTAGTTCTTTTTTTCAATAGGTATGTTATGTTGGCTTTAACCACCTATCGCTCCGATTAAACCTTGTTCATTCTAAAAAATAAAAAAATACTTTTGGATCGTTTCTACGATGTTCGGAATTTAAAAAATTTTGACATTCACATGTTGAAATTGTTTATCAAAGTGGTAGGTGTTTGTGGTCAAACGTCACTTGTGGATGTCATCTATCAAACTTTGCCCACATCTCCAAAAACCGCGATGGGGAGGCCACAGATGTTTTTCGACAAATGAATTATCTAATCTAATATTATCGATGTTTGTTTAAAGTAAAGTCGATTTTTGGGGTCACTGTGCGGTTTCATAAATATCAAAAGGTGTTAGCGGAAAAGTAAAAAACTATTGTGTCTAGTGTGAGATGCAATTTTCTGCAATTTATGTAGCCTTCACCCAAATTAGACTTTAATGCAATTTGTAATGAATGAGCCAACAAACTTTATTTTGTATTATTTTACTTTTATCGTAATTGTTTTTTTTACATCACTATAATATTAATTGGGCATTCTTATTAATTTTTATTAGTTATTACACCCAAGATATTGTTTTATTTGTGGTAATCCAATTACACCGAATGCTTTAAAGATTCCGTCTTTTTAAATTTTTTAATGATTTATTTGTTTGTTGATTTCCAACCCAATTTCAATGACTTGCGAGTTTGATTTAAACGTCTGCGCATTCTTATGCAATTCTAGGTGAAAGTTGTTTTTTGTTCCACATAAGTCATGTGGAGTAAATTCGCATTACGTATGACTTTTGACCATATTTCAAACGTCTAATTCCAAGTGCCGGTGACTTGGAATTTTTAAAGTAGCAAATACAAGCGATTAGAACAATTTGCACCAATATGAGATACATTGCATTTGCAAGGTTACACAAGAGATATAAATAGTAACAAAGGTTAGCTATTAAATAAACTAAAAATACCTAATTATGATAATTAAAAAAATAACTATTTTTTAAATTGTTTATCATTATACTGCTATGTGATTTGGAGCTAATTCAAGCTTTATTTTTTCAATGTTTATAAAAAGTACCTAATAAACTGTAAAAACACAACGTAAAACTGAAAGTTTATTCTGTTTATTCCAATTAATAAACAATATTTAAGTCCTTAACGGCCTAAGTTAATAAATAACATAGATATATAATATAAATAGGTCACAAAACCTTTTAGTTAGGGAATTAAAATTTCGGGCAGTATTTTTCTGCCACTTTATAAAGTTAATTGTAAACTACCTTTTACTATCATCATGACTGACATTTGACAATTAAACTTTTTTGTCAGTGACAAGAGTCAAAAATGAGGTTATTAATGTAAAGGTTGCTTTAGAGTTTACATTAAGAAAATGACAATACTGCCCGAAATTTTAATTCCGTAACTGTACATTATCAGAAACAATAATATTCTGAATCTAAATAAAAGTTTGGTCAAGAGTTCTGAAAATTCCAAGAACGTATGTCTTGAATAACTTCAGTGTGCCTGTCAGATATTTGTCAAACTTATCAATTTTTGCACACCTATCTTGCGTTAAATAATGGCTTAAAACCAATATTTTCTAAAACACATTAAATGTCAACATTGACAAAATTCTTAACTTTATGTAAGGTACAGTTGGAGACAAAATACTTTAGTCGTCAATATCACTTGAGTGACTTTAAATTGTAAAGCATGCTTTAGGAGTGTTAACCTTATTTTTAGCTACTGTCAATCATAATTGACAAGTTGTATCTAATAAAACAATTCTTGTAAAAAATAAAAAAAAATCGATTTCAATTTTTATTTTTTGGGGATCAGCTCTGCTTGGTTAAAGATTAATTTCTAACAGAATTTTAGTTTTGAAAAATCAAGTATGCCTTGAAAATTAAAAAAAAAACTATTTTTCTATAGAGTAACCTGTCTTTTAGGTAACAAATACGACAAAAACTTATTAAGAAAAGTTGTTTAGAATCAAAATTTAGACCCCTGTACCAAATTTCAAAATAATCAGCCAACTATGATTTTTAATTTTTTTACAAGATTAATAAATAAGCTAAAATAGAAAAGAATTGACAATTATACATAAAAATAAGAAAAATCATAAGTAACTGAAACTGGTGTGCAAAATAATGTGTTTAGGAATGTTTTAACATATTAAAACACAAAAATTTATTATATACTGAGTCATAAAACAATTTTCAGCGTCACATTTTCATCGAAAATCTGTAATTGGACTATTGCAAAACATATTTAATTTGGACATAGACTAAATAACTTTCACGGTTTTTGTAGCCGGTTTTTGAAAGAAACCAGTTTTGTGATGTGTTCTTTCTTATAATGTACTAAGTAGTTTATTACGAGGATCTCATTATTAACATCACAGATAGGCATAAGTAAAAATGCAACAACAACAACATAAAAAATTTAAATTCAATGCCATCATGTCGTCTTGGCTGCTTTCGTCAACAAACACGAATACTATCAAAGTCAATAATAACTGTATTTACTTCCATTTAACTATGCAACTATAATTAGCCCCCTATTTTACCAATTTAAGTGCCTCATGACTTGCATGTCTTTCATGATAACACCGGTATTGATAACTAACTAGTCTATTTATACAAAAAATACAATAACCTACCTTTGAACTATTCTTGTAATCCACGAGTTGATTCGCGGCTTTATCTACGAACGACATTTTGTTCAGAAATACAAGAAAAAAAATAAACACGAGTAAAAACACAACGCAGTAGCAACAACAAAAATGCACAAAATCAAGCTGTAAACATCTCTTTATATCAACGTGACATACGACCTACAGATCACGTGGTTACCAGTGGCGGAACAGAGGACTGTTATTGGTCAAGAAAAAACAATTGAAATGTAGATAACGCTGCTATTTTTGACAAAATAAGTTATGAAAATTGAGTAATTCAATTGCGGACACGGAATTTTGGACATTTTGTCAATATAAGCCACGCTTTACTGTCATTGTGATTGATGTTTGAAACTAAAATTTGAAAGTTTTAGTTGAAATTTATTTTTGGCGTCGATTTTCCGAAACAATACTGTCAACAATACCTGTTTTTACATAAGTTCTGTAAATTATTTTAATTTGTTGTCATTTTTTCTTTAGCTATCAGGATAAAAATTACAAGAACCAAAAGTAAGGTTAGTAGTAAGACCCGTTTTACATTTTTATATCAAATGACAAATCGTCCAAAATTCTATGTGCGCAACTGTACATATATTTAAGTAAATTTAAGTTTTACAAAAGATGTAGAAATATTTGGAAACAACTACCTTTAAAAGTAAAAGTTTTATATTTCAAGCATAAAGTAAAAACTCTGTTTTTTCGCCAAAGCATTTTTATTTACCATGACATTTGTCTGTTTCTTGTCCCAAAATTTTGGTAATTTATTGCCTTGTGTAGCAATACCCAAATCATTGCTCCGCCACTGGTGTTGTTTATTTCCTTCTTTGCACAGAAATCATTCAAAAAGAAAATAAATTAAAAGTGGACATAAATTATTGATGAGGACAGGTCACGAAACATTTGTTTTCAATTTTATATTAACTATTTTATTTACACGATAATTTACTAAAACTTTAATCAATTTTTCTTGTCAACGGGCGGTGTTTCATACAATTTGAAATCTATAGGTTTATCATAACCCATAATCCTTGCGTAATGTTCGGGATTTTCGAACAGCCTAGGATCAAAAAAGAGCGGTTTTCCATTTGCTAATAAAGTTGTGAACATTCCAGGAACATCGGGAACTTTCACGTCATCAATTTTGAATTCAGTCTACAACAAACAATCTTATTACTCCATTTGAGACCGAATTAAACAAAATTTCACCTCCTTTGTGACACAAAAGAAGTTTACAGTTTTTGCAACATAACTGTCGGTTTCAGGTTTGTATAACAAATGTGTCACGTATTTCTTTGTAATTAAATGAAGCAAAAAAGGCGTCACTAATGTAAAAAATCCAATAAACGAGTAAGCAGCAACGATAACAGGAACATTTCCTGTTGATAAAATTGCTTTATATAAAAATGGTTGGCCTACAATTCCTACAATACTAGAAGACAATGAAAACACCTAAAACACAAATAATTAAAAATGGTATCACTTGGAGTTTAACCCTACCTTAACGGCTTTTATTTGTGGTGTCAGAATACCGTAATATATTTCCTTCTGGTTAATCGTTTCAGGTTTCTTTTCAGTTGACAGGAAAGCAATTCTTTGGGGTTTATTGACGAGGTTGAGCAATGGTCGATTTAAATTACTGACTGTGTTAGGTTTTAAGGTTTTGACCAAACCTGGAAGTAGAACGAAACACGATTTTAAAGACATTTTTGTAATTTTGGACAACCTAACATAACCTAAAAGTATTTCAGGTTTGATCAGTTGATCACTTGATTGTTTGATGGTGGGTTGTCAAGCAAACGAAGATGTATATTTGGTTGCCGACATACAAAAATAAATTAATTGTAAAACGTTGTTAGATAATATTAATTATAGAGGATACGAATTAGGGTCTACCTTCACCCATCTGCGTACCGGATGAAACTTAATTTTTATCAAATTTAATATGCAAAGGAATGTATCGCGAATGGGTTGCCTAAAAAAATATGTTCAAGGATATGATTTATTAAAAATACAAAAATTAATAATTTTTTGTTACTTCACCTACTTGCTTACCAGAAAAATTAAATACCAATCGAAAGTATGAAGCCTAAGGAATATGAAAAAATTGGGTTGCCTACCTTTTTCTGTTCACTACTATTGGGTTGCCAGGTAATGAACAGGTGAGTCGATGTAGTTATTTGCACCGATCTGCTTGCGCAATAAATTATACCGGGTGTCCCAGGCAGGCTTGGATATAGGAAATTAACATGGAAAATTAGTTTTTATTTTTTTCCGGCTGCAGGAGTAACAGAAATCAAAATCTGACTGATGGAGTTTGTAGTGCTYGAAGASGGCTATCTTATGGATATTTTTGTCGATTCTCCAATTAACTCCATATGGGCGAAAACGGCCGTCGAAAAATCGAAATTTGAATTTGCCGGGTTAGCGTTACCAAGAAACGAACTATCAAGTCATTATTGTTGTCAAAGGAGGATTTGTCACAATTTGACTTGATAGTTCGTTTCTTAGTAACGCTAACCCGGCAAATTCAAATTTCAATTTTTCAAGAGCCGTTTTCGCCGAAATGGAGTTAATTAGAATTGACAAAAATGTCGATAAGACAGTCCTTTTCGAGCACTACAAGCTCCATTAACCAAATTTTAATTTTTGTTACTCCTGCAGCCGGAAAAAAGTAAAAACTAATTTCCCATGTTAATCTCCTATATCCAAGCCTGCCTGGGACACCCGGTATATGAAAATAAAGATAATTTTATTGCGAACACGGTGGTATAAGGTTGCCTGCGAAAAAACGTTCATGAATGAGGGTTGCCGAGCTTTAAAATTGAAAAATCGGAGCAAATAAAGATGTGCGAAAGAGAGGTTAAAACTCAGTGGGAAGTTGGATAAAACTTTGAAAAAATTTGGAAATACAAACTTATTTTGTTAACTTCTTCAGTTCTAAATATTTTTTAATGTTTTCATGTTGGACACTAAATAATAATTGTTCCATAACACAGGGATGAATTATAATATTTTTAAATATACTATTAAAAGAACTAAAACTCATCAAAAAATCAAAATTTGTATATGTGCCAATATTGATAATGATGAAAATATTCTAATACAAAAATACTTAAAAAATGTCGAATTCTTTTCATTGCTGATAACATTATGCAGAATTCAATTCAACAAAATTAAATGGACCTTCTAATTGGCAAAATTCGTTTTCTTTTTCATTCACCTGAACAATATTCCGTTCATTTAAAAAACCATCTAAAAACCAAGCGTAGTTTTCAAGCCACAGTTTCATACAATTTATAGACCTGATTTGTTGAGGTCCTGAAATCTTATACGGAATATCGAACTCTTGTCGACTCGATGTTCTGAATCTTTGATGGCGATAAATACCGATCAAAAATTACATGTATTTCTGTATTTTATATTTTATAATGACAATTTTTTTCATACACTAAAAGTAAAAATCCCATAAGCCGCGGTGTTTTTGTTACTATGACAGCGACAAAAGTTTGCCCTAACTATTACAGCGACAAAACGGAACCTAGCTTTTGAAAGCGTCTGAATCTAGTAGTACTTTTCATTAAATTAAATAAACTTATTTACACCTTATTTGTTAATTTAGTGATTTACGTATTCATTAAATTGTCTTACCGAATTACACTCAAGCTTTTTTTTACGAAGAAAACTTGGCATTTTTAATTCGAGTTTTGTTTCCTTTGCCAGAAAACAAAACTCTTATTAAAATGCCAAGTTTACTTCAAAGAAAAAAGCTTGAGTGTAATTATAAGTGATAATACGTTTATCATTATTAATATTGGCACATCTACAAATTTTAACTTTTTGATGAGTTTTAGTTTTTTAATAGTAAATTTAAAAATGCAATTATTCATCCTTGTGTTATGAAACAATTATTAGGTATTTAGTGTCCAATATGGGAACATTAAAAAATAATGAAAACTGAAGATGTTAATAAAATAAGTTTGTAGTTCCATATTTTTTCAAAGTTTTCTCCAACGTCCCACTGAGTTTTAAGTTAACTTTTAACTTCTCTGTCGCACATCTTTTTTGCTCCGATTTTTCAATTTCAAAGCTCGGCAACCCTCATTCATGAACGTTTTTTCGCAGGCAACCTTATACCACCGTGTTCGCAATAAAATTATATTTATTTTCATATACAGGGTGAATATAAAGTATGGAACCAAGCGTTTTTTTTAATCATTTGCCTCCAGAAATAATAATTTATATAAATTAAAGTAATATAAAAAATGTGATAGTATTTTGAGTACGAAATTTTATTTTGTTTTTGAATTATGCGATTTTTTTTGTCAAAATTGCAATTTCAAGAAGAGAATTGTTAGTTCATTTCAAAACTTCATTTTTTTAATTATTCATCTATTTAAAAATAAATTAAAAAATTGATAGGTTTAATATAAGGGCACTAAGTCCAATACGTAATCCTAAAAAAAAACTTGATATTTATATTAATTTCACTGAGGACGGTTTGTGCTTAGGAATTATGTGTATTACAAAAAGTTAAAAAAATAAAAACATTTTGAGAGACAAAAATACTTCACAAAGTACTAATTTTTTGACAATTACTTATTATCATTTATTACTGTCGATTTGTGACTTGTACTCTCCAATCTAGTGATCGGAAAGCAAGGCACTCTCCGATTTAGCGACCGGAAAGCAGGGTACTCTCCGATCTAGCGACCGGAAAGCAGGAACCCTGTAGGGCTGAATTATTTATTTATTTATTTAGCACTTATCACAGTAACAAATGGAATAAAAAACACTAACGTTACAAGTTACAAGCGGGTGTACTTTACAAATGCAACTATTTTTTAAACACATTTCAGCATAAGCTGGTAAATAGTGATTGTAATAAAATTGTTTGATTAAAAATTATCTGAATTTTTTCAGGAGTTTTATTAATTACTTTCAAAACATCTTTGCACAACACAACCATAATCACCATCCGCTTCTTCAGTAATTTTTCTTCTGTTTACTAGATTGTTGTCATTATTTTTATTTAATTTTCGTTTTAAATTATTTGCTTTTATTTTTTGTTGTGCATTTACATATTTAGTAGTATAATATCCCGGACTTTTTTGATTTACAGCCTTTTTCAAACAATGTAGATATTTACCTTTAGAATTATATGAAATCAAAGTAGCATTCCCCCGCATTTGGTACTTCAAATTTAAATTTATTTAGCAGCAAATAGGAAAATAAGCCTCTTCTCTACCTACATACCTTCAAGCAATAAACAGTATTTTGTTATGAAGACAATAAGTACCACTTTTGTAAACTTCATAATATCAGTAGCTACCCCTAACGGATAAAAAACCCATAGCAGGTATCCAGTAGGAAAAAAGGGCTTCCTAACATTTCCGCATAATAATTAGACTTAATTTTTGGTGAAAAATAGAATTATCTGGTGTAAATACATTGTCTTATTGAATTTATTCATCTTTTACATCAATTCTTAAAATGACCTAATTTTACAGCTTGCACTTTTAGTTGTTTCCTTATAGATGCGAAACATCCCTTGTAAGGTCATAAATCAGATAAAACCGGTGATGGGGGTCTGCTTACGGTAAGCAAGTTATGTTAGAGTTCAAAGGGAACATAAATATAAATACAAATAATTAGTTATCACTGTTATCAGTAAAAGTACATAAAATTTGTATATAAATTGAAGTAATTATTAGAAGATGTAACAATTGTAATTCCGAATCTCTGCCTGTTCGAATAAAGATTTTGTTTTTAAAAATTCATTATAATTTCAAACATATATAAGTGGCGCAGTCAGTAGGATAGTGCGATCGTGGTTCCTGCATCGAGCAAAAATCAGCGATTTGAAATTTTAATTTCTTAAGCGCTATCCAAAAGAACCGAAGGCTCTCCCGAAGGTTTTGCATCGTGCCAAGATCCAGGAAAGTCTTCCCGTCCAGGCAGAAGATTGAAAAATACCGAAGGACCAGAGCATTCCCAGAAATTTTGCATCGAGTCAAAATCCCAGGAAGCCCTTTTGGTCGAAACAAGTACCGGATTCACCAGGTTAGTGAATTTGAGTACCAATCCTTTTGAATATTCCCTGTTTAGGAATCACAATAGTTAAAGTTTTTTTTAAACAAACAACAAATTGATAATAATAAGAGTATATTAGTGAAATTACTATAAAAACAATAAATAATAAAATAAATTAAAAGAAGTTAATTAATTAGTTTATGAATAATTTAAGTGATTTATTGGAAGCAATAAATTCTATTAGCAATAATATGGTTCCACCAGATACAAATCAACCAAATCTTCAACTTTTAAAACTATATATTGATACAATTCCTAATTATGATGGAAATCCAGATACTCTCGAAATTTTTATTAATGCATGTGATTATTTATTTCAAATTTATGGTAATATACAAGAATTAAAAACTTATTTAATTCGTGTAGTAATAAGTAAACTTGTCAACCRCGCTTTAATTTTAATWGGTACTAAAACCGAATTACAAWCATGGCCCCTTATAAAAAACGCGTTACGATTAAGTTTTGGAGACCAACGAAATTTGGATTGCCTCGAACAAGATCTCATAACAGTTTTTCCACAAAAAAATGAATCACCATTAGATTTTGGAAAACGAATTCAAATTTTACGTAGTCATTTATCCACGAAATTAAACAGTCTTAKTCCTACCGAAATGCCAGATATAACAAAAGCAGTGTATATAAAACAATATGATCAATTGGCATTAAAATCATTCATTAGAGGTTTACCAGGAGATTTACAAAGTATTGTAAGATTAAGAAATCCCACATCATTGGAAAACGCAATGCAACTTGTAACAGAGGAACAAAATTTCCGTTACACACAAAATTTCACTCATTTGTTACATTCCAATAAACCCAACAATCATGTTAAAACATATAATAAGTCTCAAACTAATCAAATTACACAACCATCATCCTCATTTAGCTATAATAATCCTAATCTTAGCAATAACCATATTTATCGTCAAAATAATAATTTCGCTACATCTTTTGGTACAGAACAATTCCCTAGTCAACCAATAAATTTAAAACCCTCAAAACCCATTCAAAAGAA